AAATTGGTCTGGCGAAGCTTGCTCAGCTCACGGGGCACCTTTCATCTCCACAGGTACAGCCATTTATAAGTGATAGGCGAGGTTTAGCCTCTTTAGAAGAAAAATATACTTTCTTCTTCTTGTGAAGCAAGTGCTAATGGTGGGATGCTTCAAAGAGTATTACTTGAAATTTTCCAGTAATTTGGTCGCAGGTTTTTGGAGCCATGCAGCAGGCAATTCAGCGTGCTCCTCACTATCCTGAATCTCATAATATGTATGGACTAGTTTGTGAGGCACGGTTTGACTATCGTGCTGCTGCTGCTGCTTATAGACTAGCACGCTCTGCAATTAGCTCTGCTTCAGGCACTGTTCAAAAATCTCATTTCCAAGATATATCCATTAATTTGGCCAGATCACTCAGTAGGGTAAACATATTGTAGGGAAAATCCCCTTCTCTTAATTATTTACTAGATCTGTAAAGATGTATTCTCAACTCAACCTCTTGCCCCACTTAGTATCAGTAATATTAATCTGTGTTTTGTATCTTTGCAATCATTAATAAATTTTGTTGTATGGTGCAGGCAGGGAATGCTTTAGATGCTGTACAAGAATGCGAAAATTTGGAGAAAGAAGGTTTCAATTCTGTCTATATATCTCTAGTTCTTTATTGACAGTACCCTTCATTTCTTTGGTTTTGGTCATTTTGGGCCTTTGATAGGGTTCTTAGATCTACTAGTATATAATTGAATGAATCTTCTCTTGCATTAAGTTAATTCCCCAACAATTCTTAAAATGTGAGGGCTAGTTAATAGAATATAATTATAGTCATGCAGACATATCTTTAAATATAGTGTGTATTTTTATGTGACTGACTTTAAGAAAGAAAGAAAAAGTGTTTGGAGTTGATCAGAATAAAGCATAATACATGATTGTACAGTTGATTCCAGGATCTGAATGTGTTAAATTGTGGACTGAAACTTGTGATTGTGGTTTTGTTTTTTTTTATATATCTTATCTTACAGGTATGCTCGATGCTAAGGGTTTGCAAATATATGCTTTATCCTTGTGGCAACTTGGTAAACATGAGCTAGCCCTCTCTGTGGCAAGAAATTTGGGTGCAAGTGTTTCTACTCTGGAACTGACATCTGTAGCAGCATCTGTTAGTTTTATATGTACATTGCTTTACCACATATCTGGACTGGATTCAGCCATTAATAGCATTCTGAAAATGCCAAAGGGGCTGTTTCAGAGTTCAAAGATGAGCTTTGTAGTGTCTGCCATTCATTCTCTTGATCGTAATAATCAGCTTAAATCAGTAGTTTCAAGTAGCCGTAGCTGTGTTTCATCTTCTGAAGAAATCCTTGGAATGCATTATTTAGTAACACTTGATAAATTGGTGAGTAATGTGCTTCTGTTTTTGGAACTTGAAAAGCGCTTACACTAAGTTGGGGGTTTCATTTAAATTTTCTGGAAGCAAATTTTAGTGGTTATTATACCTTTGCATTTCACAGGTAAAAATCAGATCAGAATCCCGCCTTGGATTTCACAGTGGAATCATTCACCTTAGGAAAATTCTTCACATTTACCCAAATAGTATTTTGATCAGGTAACTAAGAGTTTTTACAAGAACTCTATTTGTTAGTTTCTAAGCTATGCTGAGGAATTTGGTGTCTGCCTTTTCCTATATAGTTCTTCATGCAGTTCTGCTATTGTAGTGGCCTTCAGCTGGTTTTTGCATCTCTTTTGAACTTGACACACTTCACTTGTCGCCCTGCTAGCTCTTGCACTTTGTTCTTCATGACATAACTGTCTAGATGAATGTTTCTTCGTCTAGTTTACTTCAGTATGTACCATTAATATTGTAGAAATACATTGAAGTTTGTCCTGACATATATTAGACTTTTAATTGCTCTATGTCATGATTCACATTATCACCTGATCCAAGTTTTGCATACATTATCTTTGTTGATAATTGTTATATTCTTGTTATACCTCTGAGGCTCTGACCTAAATTTGCTGGGAACAGGAATCTACTTGGTTATCTTTTGCTATCAAGTGATGAATGGAAATATACCCATGTCTCAAGCAGATGCTGCATAGGGACTTTTGACTGTACGGAAAAGGAAGGTCTAAAGTCAGCATGGGAGATCCTTGGTGCTGGAGGGGTTGCTTGTAATGTGATTGGAAATACTGAACTGAAGTTTACTTTCCCAACCTGTGGTTATGAGTGCCTCAATAGACCAAAAGCTGTCCAAGAGTTGCAAAAGTATATAGCCTCATATTTTTATTTATCTGTAATTGATCATATTGTGGATTTAAATTTGGTAATTTGTTTTTCTGTTTACATGCATAAGTCACCAGCATCTAATATGTATACATAAAAATGATAGATATGATATGTTTTCTTATCCTTGTAAATAATTATTGCCTTTACCCCAAAAGAAAATAATACAGACAAGACGCCTTTGCACAGTTTGTTAAGGGGGGACACCCTTTGCATTGAAAATTATGTGCAATGCATGTACACTATTTGAATTTCTATGGACCTATTTCTTTAGCAAAATAATTATTTTTTGTCTTTGTCTACGTTGAGCAGATGGTTACATCGAGAACCATGGAACCATAATGCACGGTACTTGCTTATACTTATTCTCATACAGAAGGCTCGTGAAGAGAGGTTTCCTCAACATCTGTGTACCATACTTGAGCGGTTAATTGTTGTGGCACTCTCCAATGAATTTTATTCTAGTAAACAAATGTTTTATCAATATCAAAAGTTTCAGCTTCTTCTTTGCGCTTCTGAGATCAGTTTGCAGAGTGGGAATATAACTGACTGTATTAATCATGCAAAAAAGGCTTCAGGACTTCTGCTTCCTGATAGTTACCTTTTTTTTGGACACTTGGTATTGTGCCGTGCCTATGCCGCAGAAGGCAATGTTGTAGAACTTAGGGAAGAGTATGTAAGATGCTTAGAGCTTAAGACAGATTATCATATTGGCTGGATATGTCTCAAAGTCATAGAATCTCAATATCAAGTCCAAGTTGATTCAGATGTCATAGAATTGAGCTTCCAGGAATGCTCAAAAGAGGGGAATTATTCAAGGAAGATGTGGATGGCTGTATTTAATTTAATAATGGGTTTGGTTTTCATATGGAAACGGGATTTTCTATCTGCTGAAAAGAGTCTTGCTCAAGCTTGTTCTGTGGCGGATGCTGAGAGTTGCCTTTTTCTCTGTCACGGTATCAATCTATCAACTCATTGGTTTTTGGTCTGCTGTTTCACACTTTCTTCTTCTACTGAATATTGTGTTGAATTATCAAATGTTGATCTGAACTTAAGAAGCTGAAGGAAATATCTTTGAGAGTAGGTTCTTTGCATCATGTAGGGTAGCTTGGACAATGTGTGCTTCTGAAAGCAATAATCTGATTTTTTTTGTTTTATAACAAAACAAAAACTGGCATTTTGAATATTCTGATGAATGGATGCCAAATTGAAAAATTAGGTTTAATTTGTTGGGTTTAATCTCCAGGAACCATGAGAGGCATGCTTAAACTTGAATTCAGTTATAATTGATATAACCATACAGGTTTTTAGTTCATATTTCTCAAGTTTTGTGCTAGAGAAGCTTGTTGGGCAGAGTTGAATCAATGTTTTGTGTATGGAGTTGTTTTTCTTTTTCCAGAAATGTTGTGGGCTGCTCCTGAAACTCTGTGCAAAATCCTTAACCTTTTGGTGTATGAAACATCTGAGTCATAAATAGGATGGTGCTCTTTTTCTCTGTCTTACTGTTCTCTCCCTCAGCTATGTAATTAGATAATTATTGGGTACAGGTACTACATGTATGGAAATTGCCAGGCAGTGTTGTGATTCACAATTTTTGGCACTTGCTATAAGAAGTCTTACCAAAGCTCAAGAGTCTTCGCTTTTTCAATTACCTGTGGTGTCAATGTTGCTAGCTCAAGCAGAAGGAAGCCTATCCTCCAAGGAAAAGTGGGAGAAAAACCTTCGTCTGGAATGGTTTACTTGGCCACCAGGTTTAATTTTCACCTAACATTTGTGTGCATGTGTGACAAATTATTATTATTATTATTTTTTTTTAGGTGGTGTTTTAAAATAGCCATGAGTAAGTTAATGATGAAGCATCATGTGTATGTATTTATGTTAAAATTAGTTCTCATGTGGATTGGCATTGCAATCTGATAAGGATCTCTTATTTGTGGAGTACAAAATTTTCTAATCGGGCTTTATAGAGATGTATGGTTTATGAAACAAAACATGATTTTTGCTCACAAGTTTGCATTTTTTCCACAGAAATGAGGCCTGCAGAACTTTTTTTCCAAATGCATTTGCTTGCAATGCAATCAAAAGCTGGGTCTGGCTCTTCTTCGACAAGAGTGGAATTCTGTCAGAGCCCACAAAAATGGGTTCTGCGAGCAATTCATACAAATCCTTCTTGTTTGAGATATTGGAACGTTCTGCAAAAGCTTACAGATTGAGCCAGGTATGCCATTTGGGAATGAATGGTAATTTTGAAGGTTGCGTGTTGTTCAAAGTGCCTCCATACTATTGTCAATATTACCGTCTTCATGTTGCGTTAAAATCTATGTAGTTGATTGACCCATTATTATCCATGATAATATGCTAAGAGGGATGATATGGACAGGAGTTCACCCTAAGATCTCTTTTTCTGTATATTATGTGATCATTTGCTGCTAACATTGTAAATTGGGCATTGTAATTTACTCTACTTGCTATCCAAAAATTAGATTAGAGTTTTGGTGAAATTCACGAAGTTACTGGAATTTTATGCTGTGTAACTTCTAATATTCTTTAAGAATCATGATTCACCTCTGAATTTTTTCACATTATTCTTCTGTTTCTTTTTGGTGCTAACATTCTTGTTGACAAATTTGATACGAGATTCTGCCGAGTTACAGACAGAATTAACTTTTGAATTGCCATTCAACATTTTACAAATATTTTCTCAAATATTAGTATTTGAGGCCTGAATTCTGATCATGAGAATTTTAGATGACAAGGTAAAATGGGAAAATGGGACATTTAGCAAATTTATTTGACAATTCATCCGTGTGGAAAATGGGAATTCTATATTACACAGAAAATTTGCAGGAGGCTTCTCGTGATGGTGAGGTAGTCACCAACAGCAATTACAAGAAGCACTATTATTGTATAGAAGCATCCTATAATCTTACTATTAAAATTGAATTTATACTCTCTAGTCTCTACCTGCCACTGCCCACTGACTTGGAGCGATCTAGCTCATCAGATGGATCCCAATCTGACAGTGATGATAAAATCTTGGACAGATTGATGAAAACTTCAACCATGGATGGACGAGCATTTAGATCATGAGCCACACAGTTTTTAGCTAGCTGAGCCACGGAGAAGGCCAAATCTAAGGGGTATTCATTCCTCAAAGAAGGATCCATGAAACCTCTTAGTTTCTCTCTCACGTTGTCTCCTTCAAGCACCTTGTTTATGGATACAGAAAGCATTTCTTCTCCGCTATTTTTATCTCCTGTTAAAGCCTCCCTTCCAGATAAGAGCTCCAATATGACAACCCCAAAAGCGAATACATCTAGTTTAGATGTGATCACTCCATTTTCTATGTACTCTGGAGCCATATAGCCATGAGTGCCAACCACATGCCTTGTCAATTGCATTCCACCCTGTTCTTGGTCGTCCACACTTCTTGCCAAACCGAAATTAGCAATTTTGGCTCTGAAGTTGGTATCTAAGAGAATGTTACTGCTCTTCAAATTCTTGTGGATATAAGGGGGATTGGTATATTTGTGGAGNAGGGGTATTCATTCCTCAAAGAAGGATCCATGAAACCTCTGAGTTTCTCTCTCACGTTGTCTCCTTCAAGCACCTTGTTTATGGATACAGAAAGCATTTCTTCTCCGCTATTTTTATCTCCTGTTAAAGCCTCCCTTCCAGATAAGAGCTCCAATATGACAACCCCAAAAGCGAATACATCTAGTTTAGATGTGATCACTCCATTTTCTATATACTCTGGAGCCATATAGCCATGAGTGCCAACCACATGCCTTGTCAATTGCATTCCACCCTGTTCTTCGTCGTCCACACTTCTTGCCAAACCGAAATTAGCAATTTTGGCTCTGAAGTTGGTATCTAAGAGAATGTTACTGCTCTTCAAATTCTTGTGGATATAAGGGGGATTGGTATATTTGTGGAGGTAGTTGAGGGCATTCGCTACGTCATAAGCAATCTGAACTCGCTTCTTCCAATCCAGAGTAGCAGAAGCAGTTTGGTACTTGGAATGGAGCCAATCATCGAGAGAACCATTGTCTGCACTCTCGTAAACAAGGTAGGTATTGCCCTGATGTACACAGAAACCAGAAAGCCTTATAATGTTGCTGTGGTTGATCTTCTTCAATATGTTTATCTCGCTTGAGACATCTCCTTTCATCATCTTAACAGCAGCATCATCACCCTTGAAAGATCCCTTGTAAACGGAGCCCTTGATTCTATTTTCTTCGCTGAAATTCCCAGTGGCAGTTGCCAAATCTTGAAACTTATAGATGGTCAAGGACTCAACAGCGCTTCGAAACCCTTGCGTGGAGACAGAAGTAGACCATGATTTGCTGTTTTCAGGGAGAGATGTGTAATCTGTAGTCTCTGAAACCATCTTAGGTCCTGAACCAGAGACTGGCTTGGACTTTGGCTTCTTAGACTTGCGACGGAAGAAGCAAAATAGAAATGCCAAGAGGGCAATAAGCAGCAGCAAACCAACTCCGATTCCAACACCTACAAATACCCATTTCTTGGATGATTCATCAGGAGGGTTGCTTGGTGTTTGTGGAGAAGGGGCCGGAGGAGGAGAGGCCACGGGTGACTCAATCTTGGTGGGTTCAGTTTTAAGGGGAACTAGAATAGTGGTAAATGGATATATATTTTGACCTGATGACAGCTCATTTGCATCAAGGATGCTTTTCTCATCCACTTTGAAAGTTTCTGCAATTGCAGAAATGGAATCACCCCATGTGATCAAGAAGTTGAGCAAATACTTGACACCTGAAGCTGTCTGGTTGGTTGATGGACATGCACATCTAATTGGAACTGTCAAATTATTACCCTCAGTGATATTTTTTTCACCATAAGTATTTTGAGCCATCATTGCTTGGCAAGTGGTGAGTCCTTGGTAGGTGTTATTGGACACAGAGAAATAAGTCTCCCCAGTGGTTATAATCTTGTAGGTGGCATTATGCTGGTAGTAAGAGGATTGAGTGCTTCCGGAACAAGAGCAGTTGACTGGAATTATCACCTGGTCATTGGTGGGGATGGTGGCGGTGGCGGAGGCTAGCTGGTTGATGGAGACAATTGAGTCTGGTTGGGCAGACAAAAGATAAGCTATGCTCACAGCTGAGTTGTAGGGAGGATTTGATCTGAAAGTGAGATAGGATTGACATGAAGATCCAACTCTGTTGCAAACAAAACCTCTGGTTATATTGTTATTGCTCGAGTCGTCACAAGCCAACTGCTTGTTGTTTACGTATGGTTGTTGCCCTTGAATTACAACTAATACATCAACAACAATCAAGATACAGAAGATCAATTTACAAGGAGAAATTATCTCCATGCCTTCACCCCAAGCAAAACTCAACTCTACTTTTCTCTCTCTATCAGGATAGAAATAGAGGATAATACAGAATACAGACAGGAGAGATAAAGAAAGGAGTGATCAAAATAGTGGTTTTCGGCTCTGATTTGATTTGTCTTCCATTTAAAATAATAAACTATTGCGTGTTAAAGATTATTGAATACCAAACCAACAATATTTCAAAGAAGACGACGATGCAGACTTTGACTTTTGCAATTCCAAATCAACGCGTTTTTGACAAGTCTAACGAGCATTGCATCCGGTAATGGGCTTTGCCCATTTCCATTCAGTGCTGCAAAGGATGGTCCAATTCAATTCAACCCACACGTCAAGTCCATTTCGTGACTTACCCTCTAACAAATAATACAAGAGATGTATAATATCAGTGGATTGACCGCTTTCAGAGTGGTTTTTCCTTTTTAAAACTTCTTTCATTGTTGGCCATTTCTTCCCGTTCAATTTTAGACTATCTCCTTGCAAGCTTTGCAAACTCCAAGACCTCATCTTTTGCTTCCATGGCAACACGATTCTCTAATATTTGAAATAGCCGATTCTCTTTCACTGTTGATATTAAATTCTTTTCTTCCTCAAATTTAAAGCTAGAAACTGCCTTTTCAACAGTTCGAGTTCCACCAAAACTACTCCAAAATTATAAACTCATTCTTCTCTATAAACTGGTTAGACTGGAAGTACTCTGGATCTAAATAACCGAATGTTACACGCACCTGCGTGGTTAAATGACTTCTATCAATCGGTATCGACTTTGAAAGTCCAAAGTCAGCTACTATGGCTCTGTAATTTTCACCAAATAATATGTTGGTTGACTTGGCATCTCGATGAAAAATAGATGTATAGGCAGCATAGTGCAAATAAGTAAGCGCACCAGCAATACCCATGGCAATTCTGAAGCGACTTCCCCAAGACAGAGATGACACATGTACCTCATCATGGAGGTGGTGGGAAGTGTTCTATTACTCACTAATTCAAAAACCAGTAAAGGAACTTCCGTCTCTAGACAACAACCCAACAACTTCACTATGTTTCTATGGTTTATCTGAGAAAGAATAACCACTTCGTTGATAAATTGAGCAACTTGGTTTTCATTCACAACGCAGGCCTTTTTAATGCCTACTAGAATTCCTTTATAAACTGAACCACAGCCTCCATTTCCATGAATCCGACTTGCATTGAAGTTGTCTGTTGCTCTGTCCAGCTCTTCCATAACCACAATTTTAGTTTTCCCAATTGCGCCTTTCTGTGAAGCAATTTGTTGTTGTAACAACAGGCCACCATTTCGCTTGAAGAAATTTATCTTACCTTTGCTTGCCTTCGCTTCCTAAGCCTCCAAGCACACAAGATTCCTAATATCAGGATAACTACTGAACTTATGCCAAAGACTAAACCTGCAAAACTCATAGTGGCAGATCATCAATATATCAGCTTGACCTGAATGTCCTCAATTAAATTTTACTCGATGAAGTATACTTCTAAACCAATGAAATGGGGCATGATTCTGTTGAGTAACATTCATGAAACTAGGGGACAATAGATATACCTAGAAAGACAGCTGTAGCAGATGATAGTCTTGGTTCATCAAGGGTGCAACCATTTTCTCGGGTGCCATCACCATGGTACCTCCTTGGGCAACTACAAGAAGAACTCCCTGGTGTATTCTTGCACTCTGCTCCCTCTGCGCACAAAGTGGTAGATGTTCTGCACTCGTCTATATCTGAAATAATAATTTGATCATTACTAATTAGACGGCACCAAACAAAGAGCCTATCCGTTTTATGTTTCTTATCAAGTGGGAGCTGTGTCTTACTTTGATGAGAAGCTACGTACCTGTGCAGCCATTGGGAAAATAAGGATTCCTTCAATATCCTCGACTGCATTGACAAAGATATCCGTGGCCGCCATCAATGCANACGGCACCAAACAAAGAGCCTATCCGTTTTATGTTTCTTATCAAGTGGGAGCTGTGTCTTACTTTGATGAGAAGCTACGTACCTGTGCAGCCATTGGGAAAATAAGGATTCCTTCAATATCCTCGACTGCATTGACAAAGATATCCGTGGCCGCCATCAATGCAGTCAGCATTGGTGCTGCACGCATAACTACTGTTGCTGAAGTTCCTTTGCTCAAGATTTTCTTTGCATGAGTTTTTCCCCACAACCCAACTCAGTCTCATTGGAATCTCCACATCATCCGAAAAGAAAAACACGAGGACAATGATCAGGTTTCCATGATGTTTGGGCTCCAGCACTGATGTTCAATATCCGCAGAAAAACAGACTTCAAATTTACGGTGAGAAGAGTCTGACAGGAATGAAAGCCGGAGCACAAAGAAGTGAATGCTCCTGGTATCAGCTCCCCGCAGAGGGAAAGACACCCGGCTGTATAATTTTCGTCGGATGAGCTTGTAATGTAAAAAAGATGTCACAACCCAGAGCTACCAATTTGTTAGTGTAAGTGAAGCTGAAGGGATTGAAATCTCCTCCCATAATTGGTTTTATATGCTGTTCTATCAAATTTTCTTTGGTATTACAGTTGATATAACTCAAATATATGCAAGTCTTGTATGGGAAGAAGATATATTCAAAACCTTTAGCCGGTAAGCTTGCAAGATGGGAGTCTGATTCCGGCAAGTGATCTCAAACCATCTATCATGCCTTTTTCCCTTTTTATCATCCCCTCGACCTTCCTCTTTAAAATTATTTTCCAAATAAGATTTGATTAGTTTTTTTTCTCTTTTATGGGATAGTGACAGAGTATAACTGTTGAATCATAACAAATTACATACACAGCTCTATCAACAATCGCCAGCAAGATCATCTCCAAAGGATTTATTTCTTAAGACTCGTTGCTAGCACGGATGCATGTAATTTATTTGCAGGAATTGAAAATTTGTTGTGATGGTGCAAATTACTTCTTATATACGATCTTAAGGAAAGAGGTTATGTTCTTCTATTTCGTTGGAGTAACACTCGATTACATCTCAAAAGCACTCTTGAGACTCCAAAAATGCTATTTCAGATTATATTTGATTCGGAGTATTACATCAACAGAATGAAATTATAGTTTGTGCTTGAAGTTTCGATAACGAAATACCTACGCCTGTCACAGGAAATTCGTTGTGTCCGGCAATTCAATTTTCAGAGCTTCTGGAGTTGCATCCTAGGCTATGCTCCAAAATTTGGAAGCCCATATAAATTCCACAAACAAGATATAAAATGTGAAGATCTCATTGAATCTTCTTTCTTTAGTGTGTGATATGGGTTAGTATGTCTGTGACTTATAGCTCTAAAATATAACATCGTAGCTGCATCATCAAAATAGCAATTGAAAATTGATCAGGACTCAAGAACCACTAAGTTCTCAGTTTCTCGAGCTCAATTACAACTTCTTTCATGGTTGGCCTTTTCTTCCCATTCAATTTTAGACATCTCCTCGCAAGCTTTGCAAATTCCGAGACCTCATCTTTTTTTGCTTCCATAGCAACACGAGCCTCTAATATTTGGAATAGGCGATTCTCTTTCACTGCTGATATAAAATTCATCACCAAGTTCTTTTCTTCCTCAAATTTAATGCTAGAAACTGCTTTCTCACCTGTTAACAACTCTACTAGAACTACTCCAAAACTGTAAACATCACTCTTCTCTGTGAATTGGTTAGACTGGAAATACTCTGGATCTAAATAACCGAATGTCCCATGTACTTCTCTGGTTAGGTGAGTTCTATCAGTTGGTATTGACCGTGAAATTCCAAAGTCAGCGACAATAGCTCTATAATTTTCATCCAATAAAATGTTGGTTGACTTGACATCTCGGTGAAAAATAGATGTATAGGCAGCACTGTGCAAATAAGCAAGTGCACCAGCAATATCCAAGGCGATTCTGAATCGGCTTTCCCAAGAAAGAGATGACACATGACCCTCATCATGCAAGTGGTATGAGAGAGTACCATTACTCACAAATTCAAATATCAGTAGAGGAACTTCAGTCTCAAGACAAGAGCCTAGCAGCTTCACTATGTTTCTGTGATTTATCTGTGAAAGAATAACCACTTCGTTGATGAATTGCGAAACTTGGTTTTCATTCACAACGTGAGCCCTTTTTATGCCTACTATTCGACCATCTGCTAGCATTCCTTTATAAACTGAACCAAAGCCTCCATTTCCATGAATCCGGCTTGCATTGAAGTTGTCTGTTGCTCTTTCCAGCTCTTCTGTGACAAATATTTTAGTTTTCCCAATTGCGCCTTTCTGTGAAGCAATCTGTTGTTGTAACAAGAAGCCACCATTTCGCTTGAAGAACAATTCTCTGGCCTTTGCTTGCCTTCGCTTCCTAAGCCTCCAGCCACACAAGATTGTTGATATCAGGATAACGACTAAACTTGTGCCAAAGACGATGCCTGCAAAACTCATAGTGGTAGATGTAATAAACAAGTTAGCTAGTGCTGTACCAAAACGTACTTCTCCATTAAATTAATTTTCTCTGCTGAAAGCTTACTTGTCAACCTGTGAAATACTTACCTATCATATTATATTGAGCATAATTTGTTGAGTGGTACCAAAAGAATTCTAATTAAACCAAGAATTATGATCCTAGTTGGTTGGAACCAATTGACATGAGAATATACCTAGAGAGACAATTGTAGCCAGGGGAACTTGTGGTCTATCACGTACGCAACCATTTTCTCTGGTGGCATCGGGATGATAGCCAGTTGGGCAAATGCAAGAAAAATTCCCCGGCATGTTCTTGCACACTGCTCCCTTGGGGCACAACTTCGTTGATGTTCTGCATTCATCTATATCTAAAGAGATAGATTGACCATTAGATAAACATTAAAAAAGAGGCAGATAGATGCTAAGGCCATGAGTTCTTTTTTGAGCAAATAACAGCATAATAGGCAATAGAAGAAGTTGAAGCTACCTTTGCAGCCATTGAGAAGATAAGGGTTCCCTCTATAACCTCTACTGCATCGACATAGATATCCCATGTCATGGTCAACGCATTCAGTATTTCTGCCGCATGCATAACTACTGTTGGTGAAGTTTCTTTGCTCAAGATTTTCTTTGCACGAGTTTTTCCCCACAACCCAACTCAGTCTTACCGGTATCTCGTGATCCATCGGATAGTAACTAGAGAAGTAATGCTCAGCCTCAGCAAGGAAAGCACTAGAATAAGCACGTAGACCACCTATTTCACTGGATACAGAACTGACATTCAATATTTGCACTCGGAAGGACCTAAAGTTTCTGGTCAGAGGGGTCTGGCAACAATGAAAGCCTGAGCAAAAACGGGCAGCTGACTCTGATATTGGACCCTTACATAGGGAGAGACATCCGGTTTCATGATTTTCCTCATTTGCCTCGGTGATGAAGGAATAGATGTCACAGCCAACAGCTACCAACTTGTTAGAGGTGTGGGGGAAGAAGAAAGGATTGAGATCTCGTTTAATAAGTAGCTCTATATGTCGATTCGTCCAACTTTCCTTATCAGGATTACAGTCTGTGAACTTCCGATTATTTGCAACTCGTATCTGAGAAACTGATATATTCAAAACCTTCATCTGGTAAACTTGTAAAACGGGGATGTGATTCTGGCAAGTGATCTCGAACCATGCATTTATACAACAATGCTCACCGATGCCAAATGGGTAAGGAATGCTGACATTACCACATTTCCTTTGACACTGCGGCTTAGTTGCAGCAACACTATCATCACTCCCCAAAATGAAAATAGCAACTATGAGCTTAAGCAATATGCCTAGCTTAGACAGCATCGACTTTTCAAATTGTAACTAATTAGCTTTGACTGTAAAGAACTGCAAGGCAAGTTTACTGTCAAAAATAGCTAAGGTTATAGAGTACGCGAGGAGGACTCATTGGGATTGCCAATCGAACTGATCTATGCCTTCTTAGTGAGCGTGGAAGAAGTGTCCAAGGCAGGCTGCCATCTGTTGCTTGTTTGTCGGATTAGGAATGTACTTGTCACTGGATTTGAGAGAATAAACCCTGGAATGAAAAGACAAAATCTCAAGCGAATTTTTCCATCCTACAGCCAGCCGAATAAGTGAACTAACGCCATCCAACCTAATCTAGCTCTTCGCATCCTTCAATACAAGATTTTGCCCTATCAAAAACTAAGCTAACAAGGAGTTTCCAGCAGAAATTCATTTGTTAATTCCTGAACTACAATAGATTCTCTCAGAAAAAATACAAATTATCCCTTCTGAATTAGTTTCTAGAAGTATATAATTAATAAGTTCTATTTCTTTTTCATGCAGGGGCATAGTATAACAGTTTAATTTTAAACAAATTGCGTACACCTTTACGTATGATGTCCCTAGTATATCATCTCCATGGGTTTATATCTCAAGACCTTGTGTTGCTAGCAAGGGACAGATATGACTTAATTACAGATAATTGAAAATCTGTTGTGATGGTGCAAATTACTTCTAACTTAATTAAAGCTTGAAAATACAAGGTCCCATTCGTCTATTTTCTTGGAGTGAAGATTCCATTACATTTCAAAGCTAACTCTTGAGGCTCCATAACTGCTATATTTCAGATGATATAAATTTGAGTTAGGATATTATATCTACAGAATGAACCCTCCACAGAATTTGAGGTTATCCTGCAGAATTGATCAGTAAGTTAACATGGTTTTGCAGTGGTGAAAAGCTGTGCACTAAAAGGTGACACAGTGATCAATCATAGAGTCAGTCAAGCTTGTATTTGCAGAGGCCTAGCCTGATCAGTGATATGACTGCAATAATGAGTCCCACCAAAGCAAGAAGCAAAACTGCAAAATTGAATGACAAATCACAATCAGGGAAAAAATTATTTACACTTAAGCTGATCATATATCAGATATCATATATCATACAAAAAGAATTCAGTCAATACTCATATATCATGCGCAATGGATGCAACAAATTGCTGATTGGCGTTTGATACAACGTACCAGCTATACAACAATAGAAAAAAATAACCAGGCGGTGTCTGACAATCCATGGAAGATTAACTTCGAGAGAACAATGCCTCCTCTGTTCTCCCACTTTGATACTGGCATCAGAATTTACAGTTTTCGCTTGAAGTTCTGATAATGACATATCTACACCTGTCACAGGAAATCCATTTATGTCCCGGACTACAATTTTCAGGGCCACTGGAGTGGCATTCCAGTCTATTTCAATGGTTCCAAAATTTGGAAGGCCTGTAAAAAATCCACAAACAAGATATAAAGTGTAAAGATCTCATGCAATCTTCTCACCAAAAGATTTTCAAAATAAACTGAACATGACAACATACCATATGTGCATGATCTGTGTCTGCAATGTCGGTCCATAACTCTCATTGTGTTTGGTGTCAACCATGCCAGAAATCTAACCATGAAATGTAATGGTGGTGGGACAACCTTTTCAACAGCTTGTGTAAGCCCACTTGAGGTAACGTCGTATAATGGATATTCAACAGCACAATCATACCGTGTAATTTCTCCAAAATGAACATCTCCACTGATAAAGAAGACTCCATCTCTCTGCACAAGGAAACAGAGAACGGTATCATAGATATTGATATCTGCAAAGCTTCCTTCAACTTTCCAGAACAGAACAGAGGAAGACACACAGACAAGCAAATGAACATATAAATAAAATAAGGAGGGCCATCCAGGAACTATCTGCTATTAATTGGAAATGCACACATCAGTAGTAATCACCTTACTATCTGCTATTACATTAAAAAGGTGATCCCTCTCCTTTGGAAAACGTCCCCAAGACTCCATATAGAACAATGGGCCAATAGTAGCAGAAAGATTTGATACAACCTGAATTGGGGGAAAGGTAATCACATAGTTGCAAAGTAAAACATATAACAAAGCTCGCATAACCTTTTAAATAAATCTAAACAACATGTAAAGCATAGTTATCCTAGGAAAAATAAGCATCACCAGGCATACCAACTTATTCTTAAGATACCACATGATTGTGTATAGCCAAATGAATCTCACATAATTAAATTACTAAAATTCATCACTTTATAATTTTTTTTCAATAAGAAAATCACTTTTTTAAGATGAGAAAACAGGTAGAAAACCACACAGAACCATAATATTTTAATCATTGATGAGCAGAAATAATGGTACTGCAATCTGCAGGGGTCAAGGAACATCTTCTAACAAGAATAACAGCAACGAAATATGTAACTACTAAACTTAAAAGCTGTACAATAAACTTCTGAAAACCTGAATAGAAGATCCGATTATGGTAATGGCGGAAGCTGGACCCTTCAACTCTTTTTTCAACCATGTCCATTGTGTACTTCCCAAGATACTTCCATCACTATTCAAAGGATCTCTGTGGTATCTAGTGTCCAAGAGGATTATCTGAACAAATTAATTAGCCCAATCAGAGCAAAGCACATATACGTCACTGAATACATGCAAAGCCAGTACTTATTAAGGTGGACATCAAAAAGTCAACTGGGTTAGAAAATACAAGGTCTACTCAAACTAGATTAAAGTAGTCTTAACATATCACAAAATCACATACCATTCAGATTCTACAGAAAAGAAAAAACCCACATTGAATTTGTCAGTATTTATTTTATTACCTTGATCTGTTTACCCACGGGGCCAAATGTATATGAAGTATACACGCCAGCTTGCTTGCGACTACAATATCAAAGCCACAGTAAGCTAATGGAAGCAATAATAGACAACCAAACGTGATCATCTCCTATTTTACTCATGATAACTCAATGGGGATCCTAATCAAAGGTCATACGATACAAAAACAATACAATACGAGTAAATAAATAGGGGACAATTAATTGCTTACCGTGGACTATCTTGAGGTTCATCTAAGAAATCAAGGAGAAGCCTCTGGTTACGCACTTTCTCAGGAAATTCTTTGCCGGCATCATTTAGTCCGTAATCATGGTCATCCCATGTACCAATTACCTAAAATAACAACTGTCAAGTCAGTAAACTCAGTAAAAAAACTGTCAACAAGAATTATCCAAAACTGTTACATGTAAAGCACCTTAGTAGTCTTACGAAGACGAGAATAATCAGGATTTTTCTTGATTATGTTGTATCTGGACTCCAGTTCCTCCTGGGAGGCAGGAACAAACCTTGGAACATTCTTCCAAGGGCCAACTGTCCTTTCTTTTCCAAGTAGTTTAAAAGCGCGTCTAATGTCTCCGTAAATATTGTCCCCCAGCCAAATGAAAACTTGTGGATCAAATTTGATAATTGCATTCCATATTGGCTGCGTTCAAGTACAAGTACATGTAATACAACCAAGCTAAACAGATAAGGACAAATTCGAAAGTAAAATAAATACTATAAGTCCAAAGAGAACAAACCTGAGGAGCGCTTTGGTTAGCACAGGATCCAAAAGCTATGCGAGATACCAGAACGTCTTCACCTTTGGAAGTAAAAGCATTGCCGCCACCGTACGCTAATTGTGTTCCGATCACCGCTCCAATAATCAAAACTGCCCACCTCCACCACCAACTCCACCTGCACCTCCACCTCCCGCTTGATATTATTTTATCTTTAAGTATCGTTTTCATATCATCGTCTAGGTATACACTGATGAAACTAAGCATTCTACTTGGAAATTCACGACGAGATGCTGAGGCTCTGCCTCTAGAAATTAGAAGAGTGATCAAGTCACATGCCCGTCACTTGCCAACTCTTGGCTGTAAATAATTAATTCTGCCTACAGAACTACGCATTACGCTGTCAATATTTATTTAACGACCGCACCGACTGAGTTTATTTTTCCTTTATAAAGTAAACTACATTTTCCCACCCAGGTTTTGGTCTAAAGACACTTTCCATCCAAAAAGTTTCAAAATACAACTTTATAACCCAAAATAAAAAATTGTTCATTAAATTTAACGAAAAAAGGGCATAATAGTCATTTTTACTTGCACTGAAAACTTAAACTGAGAAACTAAAAGAAAAATTTTTTAAAAAAAAAAAGGAATTAATAGCCGGAGTTTCTCGATCTACCATGTGTGGCTGGTAGGGGTGTTCAAAAGCGGTTTACCGGTTTTTCTAAACTGAACTGGTTTTTGGGTTCAGAAAAATTCCCAAACCGAAACCAAAATGGTTTGAGGGGTTTTTTTTGGATAAAACCTTTTTTTTTTAATTTTTTCCTAAATTAAATTGTAAACATAAACAATACAAATCCAAATAAAAATTAAACATTCATACATATACATTGACCACTACTAACAATCATTAAAATTTGATACAAATAAAAGTCTGAAATGAAATAAAAATAAAAGTCCATAATAAAACAACTAAATAACTAAATAAGTCCCAATGGAAAACAACAAAAGAAATTGTGCAAATACAACTCCATGAGTGGAAAGCGGAAACCAACATTAAGTCAATATGAGTAGATCTCCCAATTTCTGCCCAAATAAAAATTAAATGTTAGAAGTTTATAAAAATTAAATCATTTTTTTTTCATTGCCTACAATAACAAAACTGTTAAAGAAATCAAACCTCAATTAAATGCTACAAAACCTTCGATCATCAAGATGAATACGAGTAGTATTTCCCATTGTCGAAGACACAAATTCTACAAAAAATGGGTCATATAAATAATGGTTAAATTCAAAATACAATCCTAAATCCAATAAAGACAACATAATAACTATTAATTGAAACTAAAGCAAAAACTTTACTTGACTCAAGCTCTGCTATCTCTTCCAAACTGTCCTCAATCATGAATGGTTCATGTGTAGCCCGAATCCAATCTTGTGTACAAATAAAAGTCTCCATCATCTTAGGAGTGAGGGAGCTATGAAATGGATCTAATACACGACCCTCAGTGCTAAATACTGACTCAGATGCAACAGTAGAAACTGACATAACCAACACCTCTCGTGCTATCGAAGAGAGAACTGGATATCTATTTGAATTAACTTTCCACCAACTCAAGATATCAAACATCTTGTCCTTGTGATGCTGCTCACATTCATCCTCTAAATATTTATCTATCTCAGATTTGGTCACCATAACTTCCTTTCCAGCCATTGCCTTATCGTACATACAATACATTAATTCTTCAAGATCAACATTTACATCTTTAACATTAACTTGACTTGCTTGTTGAGATTGTTGACTGGATTGCCCACTTGGAGAAGCATAAATGAGCTTGTATTGGTCAAATAAAGAGTACAAAGTTGTATGCACTTTTATCTTCAAAAGTTTAGCATTAACATCATCATAGGAATTACTAATAACTCAATTCACATATCCTAACTTGAATCTAGGATCCAACACCACTGCAATGAATAACATTAAGTTGATGTTATCAATATTTGACCAATATTTATCATCTTTTCCTTCATTCTCCTAGCCATAGTACTTAAGCCAACATCATTATTTCTACACCATGTTGAAATTTGCATTCCAATGGCAAAGATCTCGCGTATGTATGCATTACCGATAACAAAAAGTGAGCCCGACACACGTAGAATAGCATCATAAAAAACTTTCAAAAAAGGTAACAAGTAACGGGCATACTCCAAATCACTAGGCGTAGGTAAATCCTTTGACTTTTCCCCTCTAGTAAGTTCATCTCTATACTTAATATCTTGGATTTCCAACAACTCAAATTCTTTTTGAAATTTTAAAGCCACATCCAACATTAAGTACATAGAGTTCTACTTTGTTTCTACATCAAGAACCAAAAGATTTTTTTGTTCAATCTTTTCTTGCTCTACACACTCCTTAAACCTTTGTAACCTCGCTGGAGAAGACCTCACACATCTCATTGCAAAGTGAATTCTAAAAATGGAGTCCTCAATGTCTTTTAACCCCTCTTTTACATTGAGACTCAATATATGTGCACAACACCTCATGTGCAGAAAGTCACTATTCAAAACACTACCCTTCCAACTTTCTAACCGATTATAGAGACATCTCATTCCAACATCATTAGAACTTGCATTGTCAACAGTAACAGTGAAAACCTCAGAAATACCCCAATCAAGCAAACACCTCTCAATTGCCTTGTCAATCAATAAACCTTTGTGACTAGCAATTGAACAAAAGTTTAAGATTTTTTTGTGTAATTTTCAATCATCATCAATGAAGTGAGTTGTCAAACACATATAGTTAAAGTTTTGGCAAGATGTCCATGTATCTGTGGTAAGACTTACTGTCTAACTAAACTTACTAAAAAATGCCTTCAACTTATTTCTCTCCTCAACATAAATATTAAAACAATCTATAGCCACAATAATACGAGAGAGATCTTGAAATAGAGGTTGTGCATCCCTCATTATATCGCGGAACCCCTCATGCTCTACATGCCTAAAGGGCAACTCATCAACAATGATCATTCTAGCTAGAGATCGTCTAAGCCTATCTGGATTGAATTTCCAAGTTGTAAGTAAAGATTGTGTGGAAGTGGTAGCAGTAGTGCTTGATTGGTCATGTGATTGTGTCTGTTGAAAAACTAAGATCATTTGTTTCTTATCCATCGCATTCAAAGGGTACTTTTTACATCGACTTAAATGATTCCGTAGACAACTAGTACCACCTTTACTTGGACATACAAGTACATTCCCACAATAATCACACGTTGATGTCCTATCATCCATATTCTCACAATGATTTACAGTAAAGTGATCCCACATGTCAGAAGTATTCTTTTGAGTATTAGAACTTACACGTTTGGGGACTCGTGGTGGTCTGGTCGTGGTCGTGGATTGGAATCCGTAGAAGGTTGTAGGGCTACCAATGAGTTTGGAGTTGGATTCCTACTAGTTGGTGTCTCAAAACTCTCATCAGTATTAGAATGGTCAACGGCCATGAGATTGGATTTGGACATATGCAACATCAACACGAAGAAATATGTGAACATGATTAAAACTAAAGACTAAGATAATAAATATATAAACAAATAAACAATCCAATCAAAGTATCTTACAGCCTCTTATCTCTATCTTAAAAAAAATGTAACTTATTTATTCAATTATGTAGATGAAAGACACATGCCCTTTAACTGAAAAAATGAATTTGAGTTTTCCCCCAAAACCAAAAACCAAGTTCCTGAATATATCATCATAATCTTCGGGTAGAAAAATGAAGAATAATAAAAAGTATGCAAAGTGAAGAAGAACCATCCTCCTTTATGTATCAACATAGAGTAAGGAAAGAAGAATCTTAAACAACACCTGCATTGTTCAAGAAGCAAACATCCAAAACTAAATAAAACACAATACAACCCCACATCAAATTCAACTAGTAGAAAGAAACAGCAACACAAGTGAACTTAACTAGATTAGCGATTCAAAGAACAAGCCTACACTAGATCTAAGACTGCAAGAAACAAAGCATAAAAGAGGCAACGTCAACATGTAAGAAAAAGTCCACATTCCTACAAAACAGCCATACTAATTTAACTCAGTTGAAGCAAACATTATAAAGTTTCTTAATTTTTTTCTTGGAAATAATTATAAAAAAAACAATAAAATTAACTAGAGTTAATATCATAAGAGCATCTACAATGGTACTCTTTATTTTAAAGAACATATTTTACATAAATAAAGAACATCTTTATTAATTTCTAAATATAAAGAACAAAATTTATATTCAAATCCAATAGACTCTTTAAATTAGACTTAATAAATAGGAGAGAGACTTAATATGAGAGAGAATTAATAATAAAATGCATAGAAACTTGTAATTTATTAAATAAAATTGGGATATAGTGAAATTTGACTCTCTAGATGTAGAGAGTCAACCTCACTCTTTAATTTATATTTAAAGAATAAAGAGTCTATTGGACTCTTGTTTTTATGGACAGACTCTTTATAATAAAGAGTTTGAGTCATATAAAGAGTCATTTGGAGATGCTCTAAAGATGAGATATTTATCACACATTCATATCATCAACCACTGAAAGAGTGAAAGTTGAGATAGAGTTGCTCCTAATACCTGATCGTTTGTGTGTCTCTGTGAGTGACTGAGTGTGACGAATCTAGAGAGAACTTAAAGAAGACGAAGCTAAAGAAGATTAGGGATGGAGCTACTCCTGCTTGCCGAAAAACTATAGAGAATGGAGCTTGTCTTGTTGCTGGAAGAAGACGACGAAGTTGTCGCCAGTTGGAAGAAGATGACGAAGCTGCTGAAGCTTGGAAGAAGACGACGAAGTTGTCGGAAGAAGACGACGAAGCTGCTGTGACGGTGGAGAGTTTTGAGAACTGAAAGTGAGAAGGGATATCGAGAATTTGGGTTGGGATTTTAGGTTGAGTGAATTTAGGGACTTAGTTTAGATTATTATTATTTTATTTAATATATAATATATTTTTTATTATTATTATTATTATTATATAACTGGTTCAAAAACTGGTTTCGGTTAACCCTTTTTTATTTTTTCCCAAACTGATAACCGAATCGAAAATCTGGTTTTTTAAATTTTTTGAACCGTAATCGAAATGTTTTTTTAGTTAACCAGTTTTTCGGTTTGGTTACTAATTTGGTTCGGTTTTTACATTTTTTTGAACGCCCTTAGTGGCTGGATTGGGGTTGGTGTGGCCAATGGCCCAATGTAGCCATGCATGGGCGGGTTAGGAAATGCCTTGCACGACTGACGTGGCCAGATCAAGACTGTCCCTTTCATGACCGATGTTTTCATGAATAGTAAGCC